CATATCACCGGCAGGTCGGGCATTTCGGGTCGCCTCCGAACGGCCAGTTTGAGCATCCATTTTTAGCTAGACAGTCACAGCCCATCCATAGAATGGGGGCACCAGTGCATAATTCAGTACCAAATTACATTGAGGATTTGGAATCAGCCAATGCAACTGGAGGAAGAAAAGTCCTCACTTTATTTCCCACTGGGGATGATTGATCTTTGTGTTCTATTCCTAATTCTTGTGGAAAATTGGTATAAATGTTATATGGGTCTGATCTGAATTCTGAATTCTGGATGTTTATCTTAGTTGTTGTTTCTATAGTTCTTTATAATGTCCTTTCTTATCTGTTTAGTTGGCTTGGCCTGTCATTGAAATATGAAACTCATGACCAAATCCAAAACTTCACTAGCTTACTTCCTTTACAAATAGGTAGATAAGAGAGGGCCATCCCTTTAATGGTGGTGAAATAGAGGGAGATAATAGGGAGCTTATCCTCTTTGTCTGTCAAGTTCCATATGTCCTGTTTCTATTATTGGTTGCCTTCTTTAATATCCGATGGTCAGTTCCTCGTCATGTGGCTCGAACGGAAAATAATGCCGTTAGATTTTTCTGCTTGCAGTTGTTGAGATGTCAAGCCGAGGTTCATAAAATCCAAGAACCTTCTGCTTCTTGTGTATGTGTTGATCAGGGTGGAAGAGGTTCATATGTTGATATGGTTAGGGAAGATGAAGAAGCAACCAGCCGAGTTTTATTTTTCGTTTCTGGAGCTTGAGAGACAGCAGATCGATAATGCGGGCGGGCACGGGATATCTATCTATCCCTAGGTCAGTTTTCTGCAGAGATAGTATCTCTCTCACTTGTATATTATTAAAGGTTCAAAAAACTCATAATATGTGAGCATCTATTTTAACAATTCTGAGTTCATTAGAATGTTGGTGCATTGTAAACTGTTACATGAACATTTTGATGTGATCATCTTGACATCTTAGTAAATAAATCCATATTCTTAACCGCCTTGCTTTACGATCTCGAGAAAGTGGTTAATTTGATCTGATGTGTTATTAGCACACCAGCACCACAGCAGTCTTTAAGCATTATAAACTGTGAAACTTGATGAGTGCAGAATCTTTTACGCGTTATTCTCGATCGCTTACTTGCTATAAAGAAAATTTGATGAGTTTTGATGGGATGTTCTGATGGTTCAATGCCAAGCTAGATTGTTAGTAAACCATTGGATATCCATTTGAACATGGGTAATTCTCTGTTGGATAAAGTTGAAGCCTTATTTTGCCTGAAAATCTACGTTGCATGTATCGGTGTCGGGTGGTGCGTTTAAGTGGGAAACGATCAAGTATTGACCATATTCTGCAATGAAAGTAAGGGGTCATTTAATCAAATGAAAATATGGAAGCTTTTTGCTTCATCAATGGACTCTTTTTCTTTCTTTTAAGTCTTTTTTATGTGTTCTGTTTTGGCGTTCAAGTTTGAATCAGGTTTGGTATTGGCTTCATGTTTAAAGGTTGTTTGTAGAGTAAATATATACTTTTGGTCTCTGATGTTTGACGTGAGTATTTATTTGGTCTATGACGTTTCAAAATGGATGCTTCTGGTATTTGAGGTTTTAGAAACCGTTCTAAATAGTCCTTTGAGCTTCTTTGACCGCTAATTTACTAACGTTAAAATGAAGTGCTCGTTAAATTTTTAAAGGATGTTTATATTATAACTGCAGTTGCAGTTGATCAGAAAATGATAGAAGAGGTGAAAGGTGAACTGTGTTGGTCTAGTGGCTGTGGGGGAGGGGGGCCCTTGGTTTTAAAGAGTACCCTTTATAATGCTTGTCATGATTTCTACTTTTTGAAACTATTTTTCATAGTTGACCAAGTTTTTTCTTTTCTTTTGTGCATAATTGTGATCTAGAAAAGGGTTTTTTCCTTTTTTTTTTTGGGTGGGGTATTCCTATTGGGAGGACAATTTCCAGGTTGTTGTTTGGTCTCTAATTAACTTAAATTCGTCTTTGTTTTCTTTTTTGTTAGTAGTAATGACATATAAGTAACGGGACAAATTAATTGACATTTCTTTTAGTTATGCGACATCTTAATTGGCTTTTCCTGTCGATGTGAGCATAGTTGGTGGATATCCGACACTTATTATAATTCTAAAGGTTGAAAGTTCAATATCTCACTCCCACAATTATCAAAATGGAAATGATGATTTACTTTCACCTACGTGTTCCTTTATTTTGACATATAATTTTTATAAATATTTTCAAAATTTAAGTTAATTTTTGAAGATTAAAAAAATAATTTTAAAAAAGTAGTTTTTGTTTTAAAAATTTGACTAAGAATTTAATTATGTTTTTAACAGAAGTGAAAAACTTACCAATAAAATTGTAAAATACAAACATAGGGGCATACGAAAATTTTTCTCAAATTCAAATATATTAAAAGTAATTTAACCTAAATGATATCAACATTAAACTATTTTTTTTTAATGTTTTTAACCATGCTATTTTTTGTTATCCAAACTTTATTTCTTTGAGGAAAAAAATGAAAAAAGGAAAATCATTTTTGAGAATCAAACAATTTGGCTATCAACAGCTGTTGGTAGGAGAAGTCATTATCTTGAATGGCTGAAAAAATCAAAGTCCCTAAAATGATCTAATTATTATTGTTTTTTAAAAAGTTGTTTGAAGTATAATTTCTCACCCCGAAAAAAATAATAAAAAAAAAAAAGTAAAGATTTTGAATTGGATAAGAAAGTGGATTGGCTTTCTTTCATTCTCTTTTAAAGGCACATCAAATTGAAGGGTAGGCCCATTTGGGACATCAAATTCAATATCTTTTTTGGTTTTATTCTTTTTTTTTTTTATTTTATTTTTTTTGTGGAGATGAACTAGTTTCTTGGTTGAGAAAGAGACAGATTCTAGGCCTTTTAAAAGCACATAAATTGCATATATACTTTTTTTTTCCTAGGCTAAAACTTTGAGACATGTTTTTTTAGATTTCTGATAGTTTATTTCGAGAATTGTGTCAGTCTTATTACAAAGTTTCAATTACCCATCTGAACTTTTAATTTTGATTGTAATAAAAATTTGTCTTTTTGAAATTATTGCTTAAATGTTGATGTAATCCATTAAACGAGCAGTGATTTGGCACAATGTGGCACTGGATGACACAAAAGTAGACCATCTAGATGAAATAGAGGTGATGATGGATGAATTGAACAATTTGGTTTAATATCATGCTCGTCGATGAATCGAACGATTTGTTTTAATATTATGCTCACCCATCCCCAACGACCTTTTTTGCTTTGTTACAATTATTTTATCTAATTGGCCTCTTTGTGTCGCATCGTGCCAAATCATCCCTCATTTCTCATTGTAGGTTGTATTTATAAAAAATTTAGAAATGTAACTAAAGTGGAGAAACAAAAGTTGTAACTTTTTTATCCCAAAATTTGCTGTTATGTATTAAACTCTAATATGTTATAATTTATTTATTTATTTTTAGTACGGATTGAGAGGTTCTAACTTATGACCTCTAGTTAGAGATATGCCAATTATCAACTGAATTAAGCTCATGTTAACAATATGTATATATTTATTTATGCAAAACTAAATACATATTTATAAAAATAAATAAAATAAATACGTATTTATTTTTTAGTCCAAAACTTTATAATATTCTATATTATTTCCTAAATTTTGCCTAAAAAATATTTCAACCTTTACTACTAGTTTCTAATTAATCATTTCAAAACCCACCACTTATTAGCGAAACATATGCCTGTAGTAGATTTCTATTAAATTATTTTCCTAAAGAAAAAACCGACTTTAACCTTTTTTTTTAAATAAAGTTCAAAATTTAAAATAAAATACCTAAAAATTTAATGGCCAAAACGTAATAAACAGAAAACTATAGATATCAAAAATAAAATTCTACGTCAGAAAATAGGCTTTTATTGATCTTTTAAAGAAAAATAATTTTCAGAAGATTTAAAATTACCAATACTTTAGACCAAGAAATCCACTCAATAATCAACATTAAAAAAAATAACAATAGTAAGTTTAAATTAAAAGGGTTTCATTTGAAACCAACATAGTGAGTATATTATATAATTAGCTAAGTAAATCAGTTTTAATTAACACTATCCCCTAATAACTTACTGCTGTGATCAATGGTTTTGCAGATACTCAAAGCTCAAAGACTGTTGGTACAATGGAACCTGCAAGAACACAAGAATGTAAATCAACCCAAAAAATTAAGGACAAGAAAGAAAACATTGTACAAACAAAGTTTTGAATAGATATGATTGTAGTTTTCGGTCGAGCGTCTCGAATAAGAGAGAAAACGGTTGATATTTTTCTACTACGATGTATAAGAAGTGGGAGGGTAGAACGTGACAACTTAATTAATCAATTGTAAAAGGAGGATGTTAGCTACCTTAGCGCTCAAATCTCTCTCTCGGTTTAAGCGAGGTTTTGAAACATATTTTCAATGTTTAGGTATTTTTTTGATATATGTGAGTGTCTGAATCAACTTGAATGTACTTGAGAAAACTTGTAGGACTTTAAATCCCGAAAGGGGTTTTTTTTTTGTAATTTAAAAAAAAAAGGTTTTGGGGCAAATATAAACAAATAATGTTTGGTTGCTCTTGCCCCCAAACGGCGGCCCATTAGTAAGATTTTTGGGTCTCTTGGTCCTACTGGCTTAGAGATTTCAAGTTTGAAACTGAGTGAGTTTAATACAAAAGACCCTTGATGTCTACAAGATTCGAGTCTTCGGGCGGGTGCAGTGCTCCCGAGCATAGAGGAGCAAAACTTCAACTCCCAATTAAATATATATATATATATATATATATCTTTTTTTTTGGTTGTTCTCACGTGTTTTCTAAATCAAATGTGCTGGAGTGAAACATGGCCAAGTGAGGGGGGTTTGATAGCAAATTTACTCTCTATCTTCATCCTAAGATGAGAAATAAGGATCTTCAAAACTAATATAGTCCTCATAGAATGCAGAAAAAGTTCAGAAGGGTTGTCCCGATTCAAGATTAATGGTCCTCATCAATACAAAAGAGATGCCGAATGGCTAATACTTCTTTTCAACCGAATTGGTATGTTTTATGTCGCGGGGCAGGGGAAAATGTGGAAGATCTACTATTCCGTTGCTTTTACAGTAGGAATGGTGAGAAGGAACAAGTTCAGAAGCAGAAAGACAAACATAATTTAACCGTTGTACAGCCATGATCCGAGGGGGAAAGGGGAGATCTTATGGATAAACGCAGTAGAAGCAGTTATATGGGGTATCCAAATCGAACAAAGCTCCAGAACATTCAACAGAAAGGACTTGGCTAATTTTTCTTCAGGTGTTCTTGGGCTAATCCTTTTCTAATCCTTTTCTATTTTTGTAGATTAACTAAGATCAGAGTGCATTTTTGTAAGCTCCAGTAGAGAAATCAGTTGTATGGGAACTTTTCACCTAATGATTCGAGTGATAAGACAGAATTCGTGTAACGTAAGGATCAGATTCATACCTGGAAAGCAGTATGAGTGTACGGCATCCCTGCACACGGCCATGGCACATTGACTGTAGTTCTAGATATCGGATTCAATCCTACAGTCTTGATAGGTGAAGGAGAAACATAGCTCAACGGGACATCATTCCTCGGTACATGGTAACCAGGAAATGAAGGCTGGATGTTTTGCATGGTGAAAGGTGCGAAATTCATGCTCGGAGTCGGATTAATCGGAAGATTCTTAACATACCTACAAATGAAGGAAATAGTTTCTGATTAACAAATTTATACACTCAAGCACGCTCAATAAGAACTGAGGTTCCAAGAATTGGAAAACACAGTCTTTGGCTAAAAATGATCCCATCATAAAGCAAAACCAGTAACAGAAAATGTAAAACAGAATCTCAAGTTCCATATTCGAAGTCAAAAGAGGCAATACCTATCATAACTCCGATCATAATCCGGGTCGCTAAGATCCTTTTCCCTATCTCTTAAAATGGCAACCCGAGAAGTAGGCCCACTCCCAGCGTCTTTGATACTTGAATATTTGTCTACATCATTCACTCTACACCCTTCAGCCCTGTCTCTATTTGTTGATATATCTAGCCCCTCGGTGAAATTATGGGACGATACATCCACCGAACCAGTACTACCTTGGCTGCTGAATATTCGAGCACGTGCCTTATCATACTCTTCCTTCCTCTGCTCCACAGTCCGACCAAGACCTTGTTTGGCCATACAACCCATTCCATCATCAGATGATTTATTAGGCCTAGGCCTAACAGCAATTTTAACTCGCCCAATTGTATCATCAGCCGACTGTTTCGCAGGTATTTGAGATAAGCAAATGGGCGGGAATTTAGCTTCAACAGTTTTCCTCACCAAAATCCTTCCTTGACCATCTATGGCATTGTCCTGAACCATAGTTTGCAGGCCATAGTGTTGAGCAACACGATGAGCTGCAAGTCGAAGGTACGAAGTAGAAAAGTGTTGAAATTCGAACAGCTGCTGCTCTTGGTTTTGCAAAAACATTTGGATGTCGAGTTCCATCCGCAGAACTACGGAACCAATTAAACTACTAATGAGTGAAGTAAATCCAACCATCATAATGTTAATGAAAAAGAAACTCACAATGTCTCAGCCCCTCTACAAACTCTTTTGTTATCTATTTTTGAAAATTAACCCCATGAACACAACTTCCACCTCTGTGTTTCTTTGTTTTGTTATCTACTCTTCAAAAACATTTTCAAAATTTAGCTAAGAGAATTCAAACTAATACCCATTAAAACTAAAAGAATAACTAAACATGGGAAATCAAAATTGGGATAAAAACTTCAACCCCCTTTTCAGAAGAAGAACAATGGCAGATTTTCTAAAAATCTAAAGAACCCCAAAAGCTCAAAACCAAACATGCCATACTTAACAGAAACAGGGCAATCCAGAGCAGACAAGAATCTCAAAACCGAACCTAAATTAAGCAAGAAAGAGAAACAAACACAAAATTTACAAAGTAAAAAGAAGAAATTACTGACTGGTGAGACGGTGCCGAGGATTCTGAAGGGCCTCGACCAAGAAAGGGTCAACCATTGAAACTTTGTCTTTGAGCCAATCGGAGGAGTCCATGGCTATGACTTCTGTTTTCTCTCTCTACAGACCGTCTCTTCTCTCACTACTGCCCAAATCAGATTCTCGAAGCTTCTTCTTCTTCTTCTTCAGTAGTGAGAGAAATCTAGAGAGAGAGAGGGAGCTTCCAGAAAGCTTATCCCTGCGAAAAGGGCGAAAAGGGGTGTGAGGGGGAGGGGGAAATTGAAGAAGGGTGGGTGGCTTTATAGCAAAAGAATCGAAATTTTACTTTGATTATCCGAAATTGAAACTTACCCACAAGAACAAAGACGCAATTACAGAAGCCATCGCTCCCGATTTCGCCCTTTCTTCGGCTTTCGTCTCGAGAGTGAGGATCGTCGTTGACTTTCAAACACCAAAGAAATTTTTAACACAAATCCTGTATAAAAAAAAAAAAAAACTCTTTAATATAAAATTATATTAAAGCTATTGATTAAAAAATTTAAATCCACGTTTAAAGTCTATCAATTAAAATGAATCGAAATAGATTGACCAAAATTTGAAAGGAAAAAAAAATATATTTTTAGTCTCTCATCAACTTTCTGATTAATATATTTATATTAGATTGGAAGGTCGTGAATTCGAATTTACATCTTTATATATTGTATTTAAAAAAAGATAAAAGGTTTGTTCGTGAAATATGAGAGGTATTTCTACTCTGAAAATCAAAAGAGATGCTAACAAACTCGCGTATGAAATCCTAAGAGAGCGTTTTTGTTTGAAGGGTTGGGATACTTTTCAAATTGGTTGATGTGTTTAGGCAAAGTCGACTTCTACTCTTTAGTTCGTTAATGAAGTGTATATTTCCCTTATTTAAGGAAAAAAATGCCAGTGAGTGTTTTGGGGTGAAAAAATCGTACTACGTAGAGAACAGAAAAAAGGTCTAACTTTGAAGGTCTATCGTGGTGGTCAACCTGAATTCTTCTCTGGTGGCCGACCTGAAAAGCTCCCTTGAGCGCCGACGTGAAAGTTTTACCTAATAGTCTCAAGGACACTTAAGCTCTCCCAACGGTCATACCTGGAATAGGTCAAGCTCTTCCAACGATCATACCTGGATTAGGTCGTACCTCGATCAATTTTTTTTTTTTTTTTGCATAAATAGTGAGTATATTTACTTTTTATTTACATTAATATAACTTATATACTACAATGCATAGATGTCATTTTTTCGTTCAATGATATGTGTGGGTAGAGATTGGAGACTTGAACTTCTGATCCTTTTAGTCAATAATATATATTTTAATTAGTTATAGTTTAGGTTATAAAGTATAATATATAGATGTCTAATAAACCAATAAACTATACCTTCCTCGTCTCAACTTTTTTTTTTTTTTTTTTCAAGGCAGCGATGCCCATTCTTTATTACTTATCGCATGTGCCTAGTCTCAACATCACTTTTCAAACCAAAATAGCCTTCCATATATCTATGAAAGAGGAAACGTTGAAAGTCCACAACAAGTAACATAAATAAACAAGTTGATTTTGTATTCGAGCTACTGAAGGCTGGAACTCGTATGGTTACATTACTTCATTGTTCTATGTTCTATGAGGCCTTGCACTAACCGATTAAAAATTTAAATTTACGAAAATTCTTGTAATCCTATAGAAAATAGTTGTATAGACTTTATGGATCAAGTTAACTAAGTAAAATAAATATTCTATTCTATTCTCTTCTCTCAATCTATTTTTCTAATACTATTTTGTTATTCTTTTACTTTCTAGTTTAATATATGACCATTATGGTTTTAGAAAATTAAGAGAGAGAGATATTTACTGTTATTAATAATTAAAATTTGGTTAAAATATCATTTTTGGTCCACATACTTTACTTAATTAATTTCAGTTTAGTTATTGTATTTTTTAAATATTCAAATTTAATCCATGTATTCTCATCAAATCTTAAAATTTATATTCAATGGTCAATTTGAAGTTAATTTTTATCCAACTTAGCAAAATAATAATAGCTTTCATTCAAAAAAGACATAATGTGAGTATATTTTCAAAATTTATAGAGAAGACATAATAGGAATATATTTTCAAAATTTATAGAGGGATGCTGATAGAGACTAAATTATAAGAAAAGTAATTTTAAAGTTTATTAAAAATATAAATACTAAATTTGTACATTTGAAAGTAAAAGGATCAAAATGGTATTTTATCTAAAATTTTAATAAACCTTTTCGAATACAAGAATAAGTAAGGTGTGAATTTGAACTCATCATATTTTTGGTAAGAGATGATTACCTTAACCAGTTTAGTTGAGCTCAAGCTAACTAAAATTTTAATAACTTATTCTAATATTATTATTGGATACATTAAGATGTTATCTTTATGTTCATTTGTGAATAAATGTTTGACTATCGATAATGGAAAGAAAAAGCTATAATAAAGAAAATATTGAGATCCCATTTTGTAGAAATATAAATAAAATATCAATGAAATATACATGCGGATGGATAATTTCTAGAAAAATAATAAAAATCAAGAAATTCATAAAAATTTTTGTTTATTATTTATTATATTTATATTAGTGGTGGTTTGTTCATAATTTTTAAAATATTTTGTCAATATTTTTACGATACGATGAAAATGTGGATTCACCATTCATGTCGATATTGAACTCAGCCGGGACATATATGAAAATGTTGATGGAAATGTCGATGAAAATTTAATTAACGGACTATAATTAATAACATTCTTGAAAAATGGCAAATATTATGCATTTACATGATAATTATCTTATGTAAAAAGCTTTACGTTATTAATCTGCTTCCACTTGGGCTTTCAACAAGCATAATTGGGCTAAAAATGAATTGGGCTACAAGAGGGACTCAGCCTTGTGGTGTCAAGCTCAGCAGACTGGACCATTGGCCCAAAATATTACACCAATTTTGAGTGCTTTGGCCCAGGCCCAATTCACATGTTGTACCGGTTTTCACCGAAAGAAAAATATTAAAGAAAAGATGAAAAAACCGACCATATTGGTAAAATGCCTACCACTCATTTGATTATAGTATTTTTCTTTAATATTTCATTAATCTTACATTTGAAGAAGTCTACGCACGTTTATGTCCCCAAAAAAAAGAAAAAAAAAAGAAATCTACCTATGTGTATGTTTATTAACGATTTTCAAATAGAAATCATAATACAGGATTCACTTGCGAAAGTTTAGAATTTTTAATTGATACATTTATTGATTCAACTTGAATGGTTTAGAGATATAAATTGATTTTTTTTTTCTTTTTTTAAAAATGAATATTTTTAGTCTTAACCTCGGTGGAAAAGAAAATGAATGGTAATATGATGTGACATGTTAGGCTTGACTAACTTATCTAGAAAAAGACATAGAGACATCCCATGACAACGAAAGATAATAAAGTTTTTTCTTTCTTCCTCTTTTTATTTTCCATAGTGTCCAATATAAATTTCTTGAAATACAAAGTTCTTAGAAACCACATATTTTCCATTTATTATGGTGTGAAATAATTCATGCCATCAAAATATCTAGATATCCTTTATTTTAATAGCTAAGATTTAGCATAATGCACCATATTAAAAAAGATTAAAGATCAAGAACATTTGGTAGATTATCGATAAGTTCCAGAGTACAGTTTAGTTTTAGAGTCTAAAACCTAACTCCAAATCTTAAAGATTAAAAGTATATAATTCAAAAGTTAAGAGAAAAAAATCTTTAAAAGAACATACAAAATTCTCCTATATGCAAGTTTGGACTTTATTTCATTTAGTGTTTGATTCAGGATTTGGATATGAACTTTGACGGGCACTTCTGCACACAATAGATCTGCACATCAATGTGATGTTAAGTCAAATACAGTTCAATGCCTAAGTTAAATAAAAGGTCCATTTGAGAGGATCAAAAAGTGGAGTTGTGTAGAACTACTATCTCGTGTCACAAGCCTCTTCTATGGAGTCTTCTCGAGTTAGCTCGGTTGGAAAAATTACTTACCAATTATATTTTACCCTTTGGGAAAGAAAGGTTCTCGATCTCCTGTAAGGCCAACCCTCTACGAAAAGACTGTTGAAGAGGATTTGACTAGAGTATGCAATGTGGCATGGCTCGCTCCTGACTCATTGAGGAAGGGGCAGCCCAAAAAACGATCCTTTTAAAAGGTCTTACTGGGTCGAACTTGAATTCTGGAAATCCGTCGGGGCCCTTTTGGCTATGGAGGGAGGTTTCAGCAAGCGGCTACCTTTTTCCCTCATCCGAACTTTGCCAGCTCAAGATTCATCTTCTTATCTGTAGGCATAGCTTTCTAGGTCTGTTCCCAAACTAGCCCTTGTTCAAAGTCCACAATTCTTTAGTAAAAACTAAGTCAATCACACAATAAGAGAAATACATGGAAAGCGCAGTAAACGACGTAAAAGATTTATTCTGGTTCACCCAAACTATGGGCTACATCCAATATTCTGCGACAATGGGTTCTACTATGATTTTGGGATAATACAATAGGCAGATACAATAATCTCTCAAATTTAGAGACCTCGACAAAAGTCACCTAGCTTCTAGGATCTACAACAATAGGATCCTAGGACACGTGAATAAAAACCTCACCAAATATCCACGAGAATAGGTTGCCGATAATGCTCCACAATCCCGAGATCCCGCCTCTGAAACTCTGCCAAATACCACTGCCGCTGCCCTCTGAAAATTTGTGTATTTACACTTTCAACCGCCACTTCAATGTGCAACAACACATAAACAAAATCTAAATAAAATGGCTCTATTTTTAGAAGGCCAAATATCCTAATCCTTATAGAAAAAGGTGTCCTACCCCTTGTAGGAATTTGTAATAGTGTTGAAAATCATTTTTTCATAAGACATGAGTATCTTGTTTTGGCTCCATTATCCCAACAGGCTCGGACGGATTGCCTTGACTAGATTGATTGGGTTGGATCGGATCAGATCTGACATGACCGCATCGACTGATTGAGTCGACCTATTAGATAGAGTTTGGTTTGGTAGGCTTGACTCAAGCAACTTGACCCATGTCCTTTCTTTAGCCTCACCTCACTGCAGTGTCTAACATAATAATTTCACCCAACTAAATAATTAAACTAAAGACTCTATAACAAAAGGCTTTGTCAAAACCATAGAAACACATCCCCTTAATTTAATATAACATTAATACCCTAAAAATATGCCCTTTAATTGAATATAACAATCATATAATTACTCTTCCAAGCTTTGGTATCTAAAACAAACAACATAGTCTAAAATAATTAAACACTAATTGATCCTTTGTCATAAAGAAACCCCACCTACTAATTACACTATTTTGGTCCAAATTATAAAAAAAACTTTTTAACTTTTTCTTTGATGTATATATATAAAAAG